TGTTGAAAAGTTACCAAGTATTATTGAAAAGTTACCAAGTATTGTTGAAAATGAATGAAAGTTAATGGGAGGAACAAGGGATGAAGAAACTATACATAGCGGAGTGTGGGCCAGTATGGCTTTGGATTAGTGCTTGGGATCCTGCCATGAGTGAGTACATGCAGGTTGATGGCTGTTGGGCAAAACAGTGTCGAACAGTATCGTATTGAAAACTGCATGATGTGTTAGCGGACAAAAATGTGGCAAAAGAAGAATAAGAAGTAGAAGAAGAAGAAAAAGAAGAAGAAGAAGAAGAATATAAGATGGATAACAATAGTGTTGCACAATGATTTACAATGCACACATTACTTATAATATAAATTGGAGAACAATAGTGCAATTTTTGCAATGCACAATCATTAGCTAGAATAGTGCATTTCCTAAAAAAAATGCTGAGTGATTGCACAATTGCTAAAGGGCTGATAGGCAGTTGCCATGATATAAGGATTGGTTGCTAAAGTGTTGCTAGAAGGGTGCTATGTGGTGTTAACTAAATGGTTATTGGGAGGTTCCCAAGTGGTTGCACACAGAGGTGTGTGGGTCAATATGGCTGTTGATTAGAGCTTGGGGACCTGCCCTGAGTGAGCACATGCAGTTTGGTGTATGTTGGGCAAGGGTAATAGGGATTGTGTGGGGGCAAAATGAATGGGTCTCTACTGGAGGAACAAGGGATGGAAAAACATCAGATTCATGAAGTGTTCTTAAACCGCAGAATTGTTCACACCTTTGTGCTTTTGATTGTGCATACATTCTGTTCTTACCTGAGAAATCCCAAATAAGAAAACACTGGTGAATGTCAGAATCTTCATGAAAACGTTTTGGAATTTCTTCTTAAAAACGGTTGGTGAATGAGGTCCATTGATCTGGAAGAATGACTGCTTCTATGTAAATGTTAATGCTGAGGATGCTTGCAATGACGCTGTCAGTGCTACTTAAATGAGTGATAGGTTGAACACAGGATGCTTGTAGATGCTCTAGGCTAGATGATTTTATGAAGTTCAGAGTAAATTATTCTGTTAAACATAATTATTTTGTTCTGATGACAAACAACTAACAACCAGTGTGGAGCTCACTGACTGTAGTGTCTGAACATTTACTAGTAACTGTCCTAAAATGCACAAAACCCTCACACCTTTAAGAAAATGCATATAAAAGCCTTTTAAAAACCTCGAGATGAACAGTTAATTTAGTATATCTCAGTTTTCTTTACGTTGTATGGCAATCTCTTTTAGGCTAGTGTAGATGCTTGTTTCCCCAAGGTTCTATTTTGGATAGACACTTCTTTTTAATCTTTCAGGCGCAACTAGATCAAAATGCAAGTGGTTTCATTTGTGGGAGGCTGATGTGATTGACAAGCTTGTCCTCATTTCTTAGAAGCATTGTAGCATAGAAGCATTGTAGCACAAAGATCATCAAAAGGCTAATGAGTGAGTGTCTATTTAAGGAATTTCTAAGATTTAAAAGAGATTTTGTGGTTTAACACTATGATGAACTAGGCTTATGTTAGGTGGCACTTTTAATCCTTGTTATTGGTCAAAACAAGGCCAAATTGAGGTTTAGATGTCTTTAAGAACCAAATAAAAGTGACCCACTGATGCCTGCATTTTTGATGGATAAGCATCAGCAGCTGGAGTTGGAATGAGCTTGGAATAAGTTAGAAGCAAATAAAATAGTCTGTCAAATGGTCTCTGTTCAGACATTCTGCAGTATGAAGTGGCAGGATTGGGGGTGTGTGGAAAACTGATAGGAGCATATGGTGTCCTGTTGGAGTAAACGTGCCTGCTGGTGTAGGGGTATTGTTCATAGCAGAGTGGTAGTGCTGCTTTCAGCCCCACTATACTTCTATTATCTCAGGTTACACATGAGAAACCGGATCATTGTTCAAACACACTGAGCCTGCACCACAGAATAAGCAGCAGCACCCTGGGAACAAAAAAAGGCAATGTAATGCCTACGCTGTGTGGGCTGCTGGCTCAACCATACACACATACATACAGCAGTGCTAACTCTTCATTTTGGACTTAAATACATAAAGAGCTAGTACAAACATTAAAGACTCATAATTGGGCTATCCCACACACAGATAGCTGAATAGCTGTAATACAATATGAATGTAAGATCTCTTTAGTGCTGTAAAATACTTCTGTAATGATGTAGGGTGAAGTCAAGTAAATTGGACAATCATGTAGAATAGGCCTAGTGAGAGTGGGGCATCCTAGCACTTTAAATGTCCTATTGCTGCAAACAATTTCATATTTTCACCATGTAGCAAGTGCTCTAATTGGTCACTAAGGTAGGAAGGGTATTGCCTTGCTTGGAGAGTGATGCCGCAAACAGCTTGATGAATGTCCTAAATTGCTAAATGTTACTTTTCAATAATAAGATTGATGTATTAATGAGAACAGTTTAACCCTGTGACTCTGTTATTTTTCATATTAAATAATTGTATAAGCAAAACAACTGGATGCGCAAAATCATTACTCTTTTACCATTTTCATTACCATTTTAGCTTAACATTCAGTAGACTGAATATGATGTTCTTCAACTGTTTTTAAACACATTTCAGCTAAAAAAGAAATACAAAAAGTTTTCCATTTTACCTGATTGCTGTATTGTTGTGTTGGAGTTATATGTCTGACACTTAATATTTTCTACTTTTTTACTTTTTTATTTCTCCAATATTATATATGTGAGCTACATTTTCTATATTTTAAGCATAGAATGAAAGATATCTGTCTAAATGATAAAATACCTCTGAAAGTCTTACATTATGTGTTGAGTTGTTATTAACCCCTTAAATGGCCAGGGCACACTGATTTTTGACTTAACAAAAAAATGAAGGAAAAAAAAAGCCAATTCCTACTAAGGAAAAAGTTAGGGCACCCTATGCCCTAATAGCTGGCATTTCCCCCTTTGCCTGAAGTAACAACAATTAGACATTTCCTATAACTGTCTACCAGTCTGGGAGAACTTTTTTCCCACTCCTTCATGCAGAATTCTTTATGCTGTGTGATGTTTAAGTAATTTCTTGCCCATTTCAAATCATCACACAGCATCTCAATAGGATTAAGATCCAGGCTTTGACTTGGCCATTCCAGAACTCTCTATTTCTTTCTTTTTCCTTGGTGCATTTATTGTAATTTTTTGGGTCTTTGTTGTGTTACATGGTCCATCCCCAAACCGTGACATTTCCACCTCCATGCTTCACAGTTGGTATGAAGTTCTTGTTCTCAAATGCTGTGTTTGTTTTGAGCCGAACATGTCTTCTCTCCTTGTGTCCAAATAATTTAACTTTGGGCTTGTCTGTCCAAAGCACATTGTTCTAGATATCCTGGTTTTGTGTAGCTGTTCTCTGGCAATGTTTAATCTTGCCCTGATGTTTTTCCTTTTCAAGTTTTTCCTCCTTGCACACCTCCCATGAAAATCAAACTAGAACTATCACTTCAACTACCAAGAGCAAACTAAACTAAATGTCTGAGGTTTAAATCAGACAGCCTCCTCCAAAATCCTCTCTAATGATGTTCTAACCATTTGCTGCTGATGTGGTGCACCTGGTTCTAATTTTAGGCATTTTAAGTAGTAATATATGTGGGGATGTTCTATTTTTCTATATTTCTCACAAGAAGATTGCATTTCTGTTAATTACATTTTACAAATTATTTTTCGAAGTCATTTCTTCAGTTTATTTGTTGGTTATATTACCTCCATCTCTCAATGTTGGTAAAATGAAGATCAAATGTCCATATGTTCAAATATCTTAAAAAGGACAAAGGTTTTCATGCGTGTTCTATTTTTTTTTTCACATGACTGTAGCTGAGCCAGTTTGCATCGAAGCCCCTTTAGTTACTGAATAAGCCTTAGTATGTTTCAAGCCTGGGATTTTAAAGGGTCTTTTTTTAAAAGGGATGTGCCCAAACATACATAAATAGACCCACGCTACGCTGCCGCCAATATACAGATAATGAATTTGTAACTAATGCATGTAAGACCTCATGGAGTTCTACCTGCTTGCATGTCGGCCTGCTTGCAGTCCACGTGTGTGCGCCTGCGCGGCCTGGTTGCTTTGTGGTCGCTTTCGCTTCCCAGAGGACTTCCGCCCTGTCTCATTAAACCGCACTTCTGATCTTTTCACTGTATTTTCCGCTTAATTAGCCTGCAAGTTCTACCTGTATTTCAATACATTCAAATCAGCTTTGACCTCTGTATTAAACTATATCGTCACTGTCAGATTTTGATTAAAAAATTGGTTGAAAAAAAGGATATGAACCCGCAAATACCCCTCTGGAGAAAAAACTCGCGACATTCTACTTTAGTGGTGTTGTGACTGTAGCCTTACGTGAGATTATGAATATAAACAAATTTACTTTTTATTTACTTGTTTAATTTGTTAAAATTTAAACTGTATAAGCTCATCATCGTCACCATCGTAGTATTATTATTAGTAATTATTTTAGGTATTATTTACGTATGCCTATAAACTTGCTCCTTGGAAATCAGCACCATGGACAGCTCAACGAATTCTTTCTTCTCAGGAGTACGCCTCTTTCCATATGAAATAATTTATGATGAGTCCAAGTGGAAATTTTAAACACACTTGCGAAATTCTACTATTCAAATCTTTAAATAATAATAACAATAATAATAATAATAATAATAGTAATAATAAACATCTCATTTAGCCTGTAGGTCTACTCTATTGCCGAAGCGTGCACTGTCTCTTCCTTCCTTGTCAGTTTTGGCCCACTGAATGTAGTTTTCATGTTGTCAGACGCAACGTAGCCTAAATCCTTCAACGATGGCACAAAAGCGAGTCCCCGTGAGTAAACACGTTTTATTTGTCCTTCCTACGCCTTTAAATGGCGTGTTTGAGCTCGTGCAGTGGGTGGAGCGGTGGCGCTCGTGAGTGAGAGTCTTGGTTGTAGCGCTCAGAAGTGAGCTCTGAGAGGCTGGAACGGGCGAGCGCTGGCCGCCCACTGCATTGGAATTAATCTTCGCATCACTCCATCGTTGGCAGCTTCCATTATTCCGTTGAAATAATAGGTTTCTTGATAGCATTTGGGACTGAAGAGGCGTTCCTCCTCATCAAAGGTAAACAATAATGCACCTAGATTTATTTTACTGGAGCCAAGTGATAACCATTCTGTGGTGGAATTATCTGGCAGATGACTGCAACCTGAAAAATGAATCTTCTTCTCACGGCAGTGTCTTAGCGTAGCTACCTAACTGACACATTATAACTTGCTAGTTGTTTACGTCCGGTTACAATGCTTAGCGTGTGAGGCTTTCTGCTGTGCAGCTTTAGTATTTAGTACGAACATTTTTAGCACCATTTTACTCAATCTGCTTCCTACTCGACTTCAGTTTTTATATGTATTTTTTCCTTTTTTCTTTTATCGTAGCCACTGGAATTTGTAGCCTACATTTGTAATGAGGCACTTCGTCACGTAGTAGACATTCTGCACAAGTTTCCCTTCACGACTCGTGTCGAATTCTTTAGTTTGACGGCGTCCGAGTGTTGCGTGCAAGAATGCATTCAGTTAACATTTTCTGTTTCAACTGAGTAGCAATACCTGTACTGCTGGCAATGCGATGGAATCAAATCCCCCCGCCCCCAGTGTTCCATTGCTCAAAGGAACCTAGTTATTTCACTCACCTCGAGTGGCCCAGTATCCACCCAGAGCGATTTTAGAGCACCCTTCTTTTAGATGACCTTCCAGGACAAGAGAATAGACACATAGCGGTATTTAGCTGAAAAATTGTGTGCGGGTTTAGATTTGCAATGTCATTAATCCGTAGAGGGCATTCTCGTAAAACAGTTTTGAGGAACAAAAAGGCACAGATTTTAGGAGTGGAGCTGGCTTTTTGTTGTCCACTGCGCAAATCTAAATCAAGGCTTGCTTTTCGTTTCTCTGATATGAAATTAAGCTACTCTCGAAAACGAGAGCCACTCTGCCGCCCTGACGAATGAATAAATCATAGGTTGCACGAATTACCAGACAATAAGTCAACATTCATGGAGGTGTGTGAAATATTACTATAGTCTATTGACGAAATCATTTGCCATTCGCCACTTGTCATTATTCATGAATTTCTTTCTTTTTTTTTTCTTTTAAACAAGTGATAATGAGCTATATGGCTATATCAGCATTTTAGTTCTTATAAATATGATCCTAATTCCGATCCTGTTGTCAGTTTTTTAATGCTAGTCATCTCTGTTCACTTCATTTAACACACATCATGTGAAACTAGATAGCTCGGTATAATGTTACTAATAAATGATTGTAGGGGGATTGCAGTATGCCTGTTGTCATGTTGTGCATGAGTGTCTAGTTTCAGACTAGACACACTCTCAGAGGAACATGACATTTACCTGAAATCTACTCAAATCTGCTCAGCTGTACTATCTGCATGGCATGTGTGTTACACGTCTTGCCCGTAGACTTGAAATTCTGCTCTTGTTTGCACTTTTTTGCTTTTCCTAAATCCCTCAGAATACTGGCTGGCCACTGTCACACGGAGAAGGCCAAGTGTTGTTAGAGGAGACACTCCATGCATCACTGCTGGTATCAGTTATCTGAGCTCAATAGCTCCCTGCCAGAGAGAGATTAACTATTCAGGGCAGGTGGTTAAAGGGGTTATTGTGTTCCACTGCTGTGGAACTTCTACGATTGGAGAGGGTATTGTCTACCCACATGGCGTGCCAAAGCAACAGCAAGGGCATAGAGGGATGAAATTGTACACAAGTACGGCTTCTCTCAGTGACTCACCTGTTCGGCTACTGTGTGATGTAAATATTTAAGCTGAAGTTTAGAGTAGTTTATGAGTATATTTATGTCCAAAAATATCACAATCTGAAATAGTATATAGCATATTGCAATAACATATTTCCATCTCAACAGATTGCCAACTTCACAATTATTACATAATCACCTGATTGCAATTATTTAAGCTGACAACACTTTTCCTCAGTTATTAGCATTCACATTTGTATGTGTATGTCTTAACATTCGTTGGATTGAGGTAAATACATGTAAAGAAAAAAAAGCAGGACACACATTTATTGAGCCCTATCGTGGGTCCTGTGAAGACAACAGAAGTTCAAACGTCTGACTGGTGCTATAATACCATTTAGAGGGCCACAGTATTGTTTGTTCATTTGAGCTCAAGCTATGCCTGTCTTCAGTTGGGAGCTACTAAATATTTTCAGCTGGATATTAAGATTTGGCCACTTCAGGCTTGTACTTGAATAATTGCATATTTTATTGAGTATATTTCAATATTTGGTGACCAATAATAAAAAATCATTTCAATGTGTTAATGTAGTATGTGAACACAGTGGAATATGACTGCTATTATGGCCCTTTTGTCAATCCAGAAAATGTCTTCTTTGCAAACATTTTCATCAGTGTTTTCTCTAGCTTTTTTCTCTCTTCATTCTAAATGATAGGCCCATGTGAAGTTGTGTCTATGTAATATGAGGAACAGTTTCAGTCTCCTCTTTGACACTCATTCAGACTACAAAGGAGAGTAGGATGACTTTGTGTCCTCAGAACGAACTCAATAAAGAACCTTGCTAGATCTGTAGGATAGTGTACACAAAATGAAACTATCCTCCAAACAGCACTGGTAAGAGTGGGCCTTGTAAGAGTGAATGTAGTGAGAAGAGAATACAATTCTGGCTGTGATCAGTGGCTGATGGGCTGCAGTCATGTAATTAATTTTTATAATTTCTTCTTGCCAGGTTTAACATAAAGATACCCAATGCTGTCTTTTACCATGCGGCGGTACTGCGGGGTCAAGTCCAACATGGAGGATTTATGTTATAAACCCGGAAGTCGCTTCAAACGAATGTCATCAGACGAGCTTCTCTAACAGTGACAGAGCAAGCTGAATAGCGTGAAGCTGTCTTGCCATTTGGAAATTCACAATCTGAATTTGAGATGCTCTCTGTCAATGTAATGGTATTGGCTTTTTTCTGATGCCTGTAGTATCAAAAGGATATGTTGACTAATGATCACCTTGTCATCTTCAAGGAAAATCAATTAGCGAGATTGGCCATCGAATCAAGGTAGATTAGATTGTGTTCTTGGACTGAAGAACAGAGAGATAAAAAAACATTTTTACAATGCCTCCTCTTTGTCAGCCATCTAATGTATTTTTGCTGCTCAGTACATTCCTGGGCATGGGCCTGGGTCTGGAGTTCACAGGCTCTGAGGACCAGTGGGCTCGATATCTCCGCTGGGATGCCAGCACAAGAAGTGACCTCACTTTTCAATTCAAAACAGCTGTATCTGATGCTCTGATGCTCTACTTTGATGATGGCGGTTACTGTGACTTCCTGCTTCTAACTATCGCAGAAGGGAAAATGAAGCTTCGGTTTAGTGTGGATTGCGCAGAAACTGCGATAATCTCGGACAAGATGGTCAATGACAGCCGCTGGCACTTTGCCACCATCAGCAGGCACAACCTGCGAACAGTACTGACTCTGGATGGAGAGTCCAAAGCAGATGAAGTGCGACCGCAGAGGCAGTTCATGAAGATCGTCAGTGACCTTTACCTCGGAGGAGTTCCTCAAGACATCCGGACCTCAGCTCTAACGCTACCAGCTGTCAGGGAGATGCCTCTTTTCAAGGGGATTATTACTGACTTGGGCTATGGTAATCAGGTACCCACACGCCTGGGGAGCCAAAATGTCCGGCTGGAGATGGAGGGCGTGTGCACAGAGAACCCTTGTGAAAACGGAGGCAGCTGTGTTTTGGCAGATGGAGAGCTATACTGTGACTGCTCCAAAACTGGATATGTAGGTCGTTATTGTAATGAAGGTAAGAAAATATTCCTCCTTTTAAAAATGTTCATAGTACATTTTACAAATAATTTGATTCATGTTATCCAGTTCAATATTCTGTGCATAACAGTAACTAATGTAATTCCAGCAATGCTTATTTGTTCAAACGTTGCAGTCAAACATCTGCCTCCCTCACATGAGAAACAAATTACGCCTTAAGCCCTTCCACCTACATTCATTTTCTAATTCATCTGTGAGTGCAGAGCCTATGCAATGGATATACATGGTTATGTCCTTTTGCAACAACAATAGGTAGTGCACTTCACTGGGTAATAAAAACAAAAAGTGCTTCATCATGAGGCATTACAATTCATAATCTCTCATCTTTCAAATGAGCTTTTTACAACATGGTTTTGTAATGTTTTATTTTCATTCTGAAGGTGTTTTTTTCCCATTTTTGAAGTATATGTATTCAGGTGAAATGCTAATGATTGTCACAAATGAAATCACAATTTTTTCCCACCAAATATCTAGATCCCCTGCACATGTAACACACCATAAAAGGTATATGACCATTTTAATGGGCTGTATATTTTGCTGTCTTGTTTATCAGGGCCACTTTACTTCCTAATCCATCTTATTACTTACATCTTGATTTCTTGTTTCAGCTGGGTGGGTTTAAGATTTGAAATCTAAGCAGAATTATTCTCACTTCCTACTCACTTCAATTTATGGTTATATGCTGATATATAATCAGTGATTATATGCTGAATGCACACTAAATTACCAAGGATTTCATGATGTCCCTATGGTCAGTTATAAAACTGCAAATGTGGACTGAAATGTTTGTGTTTGTTTGTGTTTATCTTGTCTGTGTACTCTGGCCTTCAGAAGTACACAGACAGAAGAAATTAGATTAGTTTGGTTAAAAAATATTGTTGTAGTTTTGGTTCTTTGAAGCAGCACTGAGCATTTTTCTATAGCGCCCTCAGAGGAGAAGCAGTCATCGCTGGCCCAGAGAGAAGGCTGATTTGATGAATGTTAGGTCAGTGGTGCTTTGATCTCAGAACAGTAGGTTTAGCTCCTCCTGCTCTGGCTGTCTTGTCTGACCTCTCCTGCAGTCAGGCTGCAAGCTGAGTCGTCATGGCTTCCCTGTGGTGCATCAGGCGCTAGTCACACAGATTAATGGATGGGCCTGATTGTCTGTTACACTGCAGAGAAGAGGGAGCGAATGGTAATTAGGACAATAATGAGAGGAAGAGTGGGTAATTTGCTCATGGAAGTGAGGGACAAATAATGATGCAACATTTCAACTGACAGGCTTCTTCTGCAATGTTGCATACTTCTTCCCATTTTACAGATTTATATAGAGCAGTACCCCATATAGATATTGGGCCGATACCAGCAGGAAAGCTTGGTTGGATATCTGAAAAAAAAGAACAAAAATGATCTATTCTGTAACAAATCTAGCCTGAAGTATCACAGAATAATAATGTAGCACAGCAAAACATTTAAATAAAGTACAATAGTTCTTGTGACAGCAGTAGCCAAAGGTAGCCTAGCATTTGCATAAAAACAATGAGTAGCTGTATCATATTAGGGTTATGATTCCTTTATTTTAAATAATTTGCACACATTTGTGCAATTTATATTTATATTTTTTTAGAGTTTAACGGATTAAAAAAACAAGCTGCAGTTTTATATAAGCCATGATATATAAGTCGTTGGCTCCGTATTCCTTCCTGAAGTTAAGTAGATAGCAGTTTGAGCATGGTTATCTAAAATCTAATTTATGCAATTTTACACATAGCCAAAATATGTTTGCTGCTTTAATTTTGCACCGGAGCTACAGGCTAGTGTTGCTAGTAATGCCAGTAAAAGTGATGGGCTATAGCTAGCTAGCATTCAACCAAACACAGATAGAAGGAGTGTTGCAAATTTGTCTTTTGACAGTGACCAAATATCAAAAGAATAATAAACTGATAAACAATATTAAACTGTTTCTGTATTATTTTAGCAGAACTGATGTAGCAATTGCCATCTGAATGAAAAACCTGAGAAAAGGTGAATGCAGTTCACAGAAAGTCAACGTGTGTATCAAAATATTCCACTAAGCAAATATGTTTTTTTTACACAGGTACTATAAATTTTTTGTTTTATTGTATTTTCACTGTAATATCACTGTGCTTACACTTCCAATTTTATATATATTGTCACTGTAGATTTGTCCAAAATATATAGCTTGCACCTAACCCATGCTTTTCTCACTTGGTCCTGTACTAAAAAGGCAAGCTCCAGCATTGAGTCTCCCCTGCTGTCTTTTTGATTACATTGCTTAACCCCTTAAAAGGCCAGGGCCTGCTGGACCCGAAGTTTGATTGCACACTTCTATAATTTAAGAACAGCTCAATCAGTTTGCAGTGTAATCCCTGTAGTTACTGAATAATATGTCTTAGTATGTAACAGGTTTTTAGATTTTTAGAGGGCTAATGATTTTTTTAATGGTGTGATTGTATTGTATACTGAGTATATAAAGATCTGGGCATTTATGGAAAAGATTTTGGATAACATAGACTGCTTGTTTGTTACATGTTAACCTTGTAGGTTTTGGCTTATTGATTACATTTAAGGAAAGAGACAAATTGTGTAAATGTTTTTTTTTTTTTTTGCCAAACCAGTCCTTTAAGTAAAGTGCTTTGATGAAAAGTGTCTTAATAAAGTTTAATAGTTTTTAAAGAAAAATCTATTGGATTGGTATTGGTATCTGCTGGTTTCAGTATTGGAAAATAAAAATTGGTATCTAGTGTAGCGATACCGCAAATAATCTTCTTTGTCTGGGTCAAATTGCTAACTTGAGAGGGGGATAGTTGTTGTTTAATATGTGTGTTTGGTAATGAGTGATGTTGGCAAGCTGTCTGACCTGTGTTCATAAGATTATGAGTGTCCTTATAGCAATAGGCCCTTGTGGCCACTCAGAGCATGTAGATGGCACAAGAGTGCTCCACAAACACTCATTCTCTCTAGCATACATACACATTTAGCCTCAGCCTCGCATGTACTCTAAACGGGCCAGCTGACAAGCTCTAGCAGAAGTGGAGGGTCATCATCATCTGTAAAGCTGCATTAAAGCACAGGCAGATTAAAACAATAAGCGGCTGGTCATAAAATACATGTTTGGCATGCTTGGCCTGTGTGGAGCAGAAGCTGCTAAAGTGCTGTGCATGTCGAAGTCAATCACTGAGATTGTGCCCCATACCTCACATGCTCTGATTCTCTTCTGGAAAGCTGATAGCAACACAGAAACTACTAAAGCATTTTTTTCAGTCACACCAGCTTAAAAAAATATACAATTGATATGTATGTATGTATGTCTAAAACATTTTATTTTTATTTTTAATTATATCACAAAGAATTATTGTAGAGCATTTCATTTTAAGTGGCTAGCTTTTCATTTTTATAGCACAGTTTACAATAAAAAACAGAAAGGGATCACACAAAAAAATAAATACAATGTTAAAATGGTGACTGAAGGCTTAGCTGAGGGTATTAATAAATATACATGGAAAAATGTCAGTTACAATAATCTTACTATAAAAGTAGGTCAATAAAAAGGGAAAAAAGACTTGATTCCAGCTTGATTCAGGCCGAGTGGGCATTTGTGTCTCTCAACCTCACGTTGGGAAATGAATTTTGGTCCAAAAGCTGAAAAATAGAGCAAGGGATTAAAGCTGTGTTAAGAGGACAGGGTCTGTTCTGCTCACAGTCACGTGAAGAACAATCTTAATCTGCTTGTGAAAACTTCTCCACTTGGGTGTAGCACTTGCTCGCTTTATCTCTCTCTGTGTCATCCCTCCCCTCCTCTCTCCACAGTGTCAATGCTTAGGGTGACCAATTTTGGCAGATTTTTTTTTCTTGTGGTAACATTTCAGCACACTGATTTTAGTTTGAACTGGCATGTAAGGCAGCCACCATTTTGTAGGCTGAGGCTGAATGTGTCTGACTCTTTTTGACTCTCATTCTGTAATGGTCTTTTGTAATACGACTTAGCTTTTTAATGTTAATGAACAGAGAAAATTAAATGCAATATCCTTGACTAGCTCCACTAGATCTAAAAAAGTTGCAACAAATATGTTTTAGCAGACGATCACAGTCAGTGCAGCCTGAGTAATACATGACACAGAGAATCATTTTTCAGCTGTTGAAGAAGAAACTCACTGCATCTTAGATTATGTTGTTAAAAAACTCCTGTTAATTACATTAAATTACTGAATATACGTAAGCATTATGTAAAATCTTTGCACATATTTGAGGGTGAATCTACATGAAGTAGATGCTATCATCTTTCTGTCTAAAAATTCTAATTACTTACTTTTAAATGATCGCTTCCAGTTACCTTGGTGTAAGCATAAAAAATCTAAATGAACACTTGGTGGCTTTGATCAGTCACAGCTGAAATAAACAATAAATGTGCAATTAGAAATTCACTAAAGTAACCAAGCCAACTACTACTTACTATTCCACTAGCAACTGTTTCAAGCAGTCAGGCCTGCGTAGGCATGAGTTTGAATTCCATGCATGCTGCGTCGGTGCCAAGACCCAGATAAGTCTCCACCAGTGTCTCTTGCCCATGTGGCCTTTCTTTGAAGGTGAAGCCAAAAGGATGGATGTTGAGTAGCACAGTTAAAGAAGCATATTAACTGCCTTTAGGACACAGATAAGACCACTGCTATTCACTTGGCCACTTGCCTACTGGTGCACTAGGTAAGACATTTCGAGCAGCGATGAACTCTTGTCCTTCTTCCATATGCATTGGAATAATTCGAAATAAATTTTGTCATCTTTAATTAAGTAATTTAAAACATTTTGAGGACACTTTTTAACATATTCCCACCTGGTATATTTTTGTGTTATCTGTTGAAAGCTCCTCATCTGCAACCATATGAATTAGAATGAGCTGGAGATGCACAAATAACATAAAAGGGTTTGCGATGTACCTTATGAGATCACACTTGCACAAAAATATTGCTTGAAGCTTTTAAGTGTTCTGGGAGGAACTCCATATAAATGATATGAGAATACACCTTAAACATGTTCCTTTGCTAATCAGTGTGCATTCAGCCTAATCAGTGGGTATTCAGGAAATTTTAAACACTAATGCAAAAACAGCATGTTTGGATTTATACATACACACACAGTGAGTCAGCAGTGAAAATAATTCTCATGGGGACAGAAAAGGTCCAGAGATACGCAAACCTCACAACCTCATAAATCCGTGCGGTCCGCAGTGGACAGCTGGTTCAGTAACCTGCTTGGATTTATGCCTTCATGCTGTGTATGTGAGTTGCTTTGCGGTGTTCGGGACATTACACATAGCCAGTTTATCACTGGTGATATTCTCAGTATGATGAGGGGTGGGGGTGGTTGAAAGTGCCAATCTGAATCCCTGAAAGGATGGGACAGATGTCGCTGGATTCTTTCACAGGTTTTTTTTCAAACAGCATGCAGAGGGACAGACTTTGTCCCTTGCATGACAAAGGCCTTAATAACAAGTTTTGACAACGTTTGCATGATAACCCCCATGCAAAGCCAAAGGGTGTGTGCCTAACATCTTTCTTTCTTCTTTCCCCATCTGTCTGAACAGCGGCCAACCAAAATCCTGGTAAGTTTTTACACGACAAATAATAGCAATACAAATACTAGTAAGTACATAAAATAAATTGCTAATAAAACAGTTTTTAAGATTAAATGATAATGCATACTACTTACAGAGCAGGGAAATAAGTTTACTTTTTCTTTATGGGAAGCTTTTTATAGCATCTTGAAAAGCTTCAGCTTTAGCGTGCATACCATGATTTGCCTTCAGGTGAACCATGACTTGTCACAATACCTCAGCAATACTGGTATTGGTGTTCCTAAGCTTTCTCTTTCTTTCTATTGCTCTTACCTGCCCCCAACTCCTACAAGGTTTCGCACACATGGTGAAGTCTCAACAAGGTATGGTCTTTTTATATCCTCTCTGATCTATCATCCAGTGTGTTTGTTGTCTGTTGTGTCAATGCTCAGTAAATACATGCCTGCACCGTACATATATGTAACTGCAAATTATTGCATGTTGATTGTATTGCTGTTTAGAGGTAATCCTATGTAATGCCAGAGATAGTTTATTTTCTTGTGTGTATAAGCTGGTGCAGTGCCACTGAGCCCAAATGCACTGTTTTCAAGTCACTTTCTGTTTACTCAGATCACTGAGTTTAATGCTCCAATTGAACTAGAGTGATAAATAATACATCTTTGAAGAACTACTATACACTGAATAAATGGCATTGAATTAGACTGTAAGGATTTGATAAATTTCTTCCATATAAAATCTTGTGCTATGTCAGATCATAGAAGATATTAGGTTTTGATAGTCACCAATTTAAAGTTCACTGAATAAAAACTGTGTCAGTGGCATTTTATGTGAACATATTTAAAGGTAACTGGACAAGCAATTCAAAGAAATTATTTATACTAGTCAATAGCCCACATGATAGTCCCTATCTAAACTGTCTTTCTTTGTCATCACATGAATTTGTTGTAAAATATTTAACTACAGTCTGACCCGCATAAATGTCAAATAATTGTCCTTGGGTGTTATCCTCTGAATAAGAAGATGTGGTTTAAGGCATTGTTAGAGAATTGTACAATCCACTCTTTGGGATTCAGAAAAGAGCATTAATGAATAATTAGTGTCTACAAGAGCATTGGGGAGCAAGTTTAAATAAATAGAAATTGTGCACTAAAATTTGCAGAAAATGTCATTTAAGTTTGTTAGAAAATCAACTAAACAATTTGACTGGAGCTGTTCAGACTTTAGAATATGACTGTACTTCAAAGAGCAGGGCCCAAGTGAACCTGAGGTTGGCTCTAGCCCTCTCTTTTTGTCTAATAATTAATGCATTACTGCATTATTAATTCATGCATTTTTGAATTTCCGTAACTATTTTTTAAATGCTCCCAGTAGTTTCCGTATAATTTGTCCAGTTTCTCAAATAGAGGAATTACTTCTGTATTATTCAATGATTGAGATTAAACAAAGTCATTCTGAGAGTTTTGAGGTAAAAATGGTGCATTGTAGAGAAACTTACCAGCTTTGTTTTTTACAGTGGTGGCTATAGGAAGGCTGTAATGTCTAGTATGCAAAATATAAAAAGTGCAGCACTCAACACTGTAACAAAGCAAGAAGGATTGTATTAAGTTAAAACCATGATGTTTTGGCCCACATTCAAAACCACCATCAGATGCACAAAACAACACAAATAACACCATTTCAACAACTCGTAGATTAATTTATTTTTTAATCATGTTTTTTGTGATGTCTTGAGCATTTGATAAAGGCCTTAAATGTGGGCTGAGACAAGAACAGTTGCATACCTGTTAAAGATTTCAGAAATTATGAATTCATATCAGGCTGTTTAATTAAAAGTATGATATTTAAGGTTATTTTTTTTGTTGTAGTTGTTGCTCTTCTTTCCTCTGACAGTATAGCATTAGAGGAACACATCTGGTTTAAACATGATTCAAGTCAAGCCATTTAAAAATAGAGTTAATGGGCATTTCCCAATATAAAAAACTAACTTTGACTGTCACATTTTTTGCATGCAGTGAATAATAGTTAAAAGTTAAAAGAGTTTATTTGACTTCCTTTTGTAAGTTCTAATGTAACAAGACATCAGCAAGTGGCATGTTCTTAGTATTGATCGGTCATTTTTTATGCTTAAATATAATATTGGGATTTTTCTTGTTTCTTCATGAACCCAAAATAATAATAATTTGAAGTCAGTTAGCCCATGTCAGCATAACATAAGTACACATTTGCTTTGCTAGCTCATGTTAACGACTTGTATTTGTTAGTTAATGAGTTGACGAAATGTATTTTTTAATACCTAACATTTGGGATGCACCTATATGGGAATTATGGGGTGGTGTTGATGCTGATTTATGCTGAAATATTTATAAAATGTAAAAATTGGGAGTACATCTACCCAGATCAATTAATGAATTAGATTACGAAGAAATGTAACATTTCTTTTGTAAGGTTATAAATATGGTAAAATTAATCAACTGTAAACATTTTAGCATAGTAGTTGCATCACCTAAACATTCTGCTCTTCTACAATACAGTACATTCATCTTAGGTTTAGATTTAGGTTTAGAATATTGGTCAAATCTAAACATCTGTCCAATGCTAAGTATTTTTTTAAGCAAATATCTGCCAATACTGATTTTATTCTGATATCATTGTGCATCCCTGACTAACAGCCCAGGAGTGAAATGTTCTGTGTTTTGTAGTTTTATTAAGCAGTGCATTGCACTCAGTATTTCCAAGGTGGTGAGATTTCACCAATTTGCAGACATTTTTCCTAAAGTATCATTTAAGAAGCTTCACACATCCCTGTGTCTGTCAGATGCAAATGTAGATATTTTTAGTTGAAAATGTTTTTGTTCCAAAGAATAGAAAAGGGAGATTAACTGCCAAAATGTTTCCCTTGAAAAGGAGCCCTGACCGAGCTAAACCATTTTACTGAATTAGTCGACAGTGCAGTCCCACAGTAAAAAAATAATGCAATAAAAAAATAAATAAATAAAAAAGAATTCAGACCTTAGAGATCTACAAGGATTATGTTATGATCTGTTTAATCCCAATGCATTAATTAAGTTATTAATTGATATGAGTAATAAATATCCAAAATCATCATTTATAGGGTGCTTTCTCCTGGGAGGTGGCTGTACCCTAACCTCCAAATTTCAGCTTGTGAAAATATTACTTGCATTTGAAATTTGAAAAGATTTATATTTATCTTTAGTTTTTTTTAAAAAAAGACTTTATGCAAAAAATGCTGTCCCATGTTTTTTTATGTCATTACCAAAACACAAAGACTTTTATTTTTCCATTTAGCCACACTCCTGCATTTTAGGGCATGTTCACAAGTTGAGCAGTTAGATCCCATTGTAGTGAACTAGCTGTGTCCTAAGGACTGATGAGTGTGTAACCTTAAGAATTGTCACTACTGCAATACATATTTGCTGCAATTAAGTAAACATTTTTGTGTTTTAATAAAAAAAATTGTATGATTTTATGTGTACATAGCAAATCAAAACTGTGTTTGCTAGTTATGCACTGGGTTTTGAGGTATACTCCAAATTAGCTCAAATTGGCTGCACCAAGTCACTACTGTAACACTACTGTAACACTACTGTAAAAAGCAAAAGGATTTCAGTTTAAAGTTCAAGTCAGGTAAGAGTCAGAAATGTGTTTTGAGCTCTGACTTTGAACCTGTTCAGTAGAATGATCCATACACCCCCCTAGGTTGCCAGCCTGCTGTGTTTGTTCATATGAGATTAACTTGCGGAGCTACTGCACCTTACATGCATGCTCCACGTTGAATATGTTAAGCAATATACATTAATATGTTAAGCAGTATACCTTACACAATGTAACAGCATTATACACTATGCAATACACATATGCAGCTTAATACATGATACAGTTTATATACTTTGACATTAAGCAATCTTTATGTATTATAAATTCCATAATGCTTCTGAATCTTCAAAATGTGAAAGGTCGTGAATTAGGGATGGAAAGTGCACTGGGACTGTAAATATAGAGAAAATAGGGAGGTCACTAATGGTAAAAAGCAATTTGCTGTGAAAATGTAGCAATGGTCAAATAGTAAGGGAAGTTCATAAAATGGTTAAGTGGTGAAAAATGTAGTGAATAGTAGATTGCATGCATACATAGTGCTGGTGGATTGCATGCATACATGAATTGTTCTAGAATGCATGCACAGTTCATCATGCTTTTCCCACAGTATCTTTTTTACTCAACAGTGTTTTCTCTTTCTGTCTTTCTGTCACTGTCTGTCTAACTGTCCTCCATCATTGACCAATCTATCCTTGTCCTTCTCTGTGTTTGTGGAACCCCTGCTCCAATATCATTGTAGGCAGAAACAAAGGTACAGCATGCTTTCCTTACTAAGTGGGTGATGCTTATTAGACATCACTGTCTTTCTATTATTCATTATGTTTATGCTGGTGAGAGCTTTGACTGTGCGAGGATCTTTTCTGCTAGCAGCCATGGAGACACAGCCAAATGTCATAGTAGCCTAGATGGGCAAATGAGTGGTTTACTGTGATTGTGTAGAAATATTGAATTGTGGGGAAACACTAGGAGCAATGCATAATTTTGCTACTGCTTGTAATATCTAACATAAATACTGACAACACTGTTAGACTAGACTGAATGTCTTTGTTCATTTATTTATTTATTTATTTTTTCTTGCTCATCAAAAGGTCTTTATGGAATTTAACCATGATGCCTGTGTACATGTTTTATTTATTTACTTTTTTTAGAATGGGTTTGTTTAGTTACTTGTTGTGTTGCTTTGCCTGAAGCCTCATGTTGCAGTGTAAAGGAGACTTGTTGGGTTGTGTGGCAGCTGTATAATTCAGGGGATGACACTTTCAAGTTAGAGTGAGTAGGTGACTTCTGCTTAGCTTCTTAAATGTTTTAACAAAAGGCTGCAAAGATACTTACTGTGAAAATCTTTTTGCTTTGAAATACAGAATGTGCTAAAAACTCTGATAACTGATAACACTGGCCAGTGTAATTTAATATGGTCAAAAGAGTCTTAGGGTTTTAGATAAGCGGTGTTTTACTGACTGATATTATTGTCAGTTATTATATGATTGTCAGAACATCTTGCGAAGGCAGTTTATTTTTGAATGCAAAATTATTTCAAAGGTAATTCTGTGTATCTGCATTTTCCTTTGTGCTACAAAAAGTGTTATGGTCAAAATTGTCAAATTTTGTTAAAATTAGAAGACCGTTGGCATAGGATTAGATTTATTAGGCGTCCTGGGGTAATTTCCTTTTTCACAGGTGCTACACAGTGATTTTCTTAATTTGCAGATTGTCCATGTTGGTGTTTGTCTCCATCCTTGCCTGAAAA